ATAACCAGTCAACGCCTTGAGAAGGGATGATGATGATGATGATGATGATGATGATGATGATGATGATGATGATGATGATGATGATGATGATGATGATGATGATGATGATGCTGCTGATGCTGCTGATGATGATCATGATGATGCTGATGATGATGATGATGATGATGATGATGATGATGATGATGATGATGATGATGGTGTTGATGTTGATGTGGTTGTTGACAATGCTGATGATGATGCTTATGATGATGACGATGATGATGAAGCTGATACTGATGCTGATACTGATGCTGATGCCGATGATGACGATGCTGATGATGCTGATGATACTGCTGCTGCTGATGATGCTGCTGATGATGCTGCTGCTTCTGATGCTGAGGCTGATTATGCAGATGATGATGGTGATGGGTGGGAGGTCAAGATGCCAGCTATCGCGCGAGCTCACCTTTCCTGTCTTCATTCTTCTCTCCGCCCTCGTCTTCCAGCCGAGGGCAGGAGCGCAGGGCTGCAGAGCCCTCCGTCCGACCCCTCTCCGAGCTGACTGAGGCCAGCAAGCCAGCGCAGCATCCTTGAGACTGCGGCTGCAGCAGCGCCTGGTGGGCGAGGGGACACATCTCTTGAAGAGACGACAGACGGCCTGCGCCGCACAGAGGAGGAGGAGGAGGAGGGAGCAGGAGGAGGAGGAGGAGGAGGAGGAGGAGGAGGAGGAGGAGGGAGAGAAGGAGGAAGAAAAGGAGGAGGAGGCGGCCCAGGCGTCGACGCCCAGGATGGCTACGGGAAGGTATGGAAGACGCACGTCCAGAGCACGCGGACGAGTGCGGGGAGCCCTGGACAGCGTGCCCACTCTGGTTGTGCCTCCCTGGGCTGGCGGCGCGCAGAGGGGGATAGGGGGAGGGGGGAAGGCTTCTTAGAAGCACCCCTGCTTCTTAGAAGGCGCGGGCCTTCTCTATAGACGCAAGGCCGAGGCCTTCCAAAAAGCAGGGGTGCTTCTAAGAAGCCTTCCACCCTCCCCCTACCCCCCTTCTGCGCGCCGCCAACTGGGCCTGATCCTGGCACGACGACGGCGATTGTCGTCCTCGCCCTCGTGGGCGAGGGGCGACGGAGCCTGCCGGAGCCGGCGGCTCCGGCGGGCGCGAAGGGCGCGGCGCGGGGAGGGCTGCCCGGAGGGCGAGGAGCGGAGCGGGCCAGCCCTCTCGCGCGCACTGCCGGGCCGCCCTGGGCCTGCGCCGCTGCCCCTGCGCGGCTGTGGCGCGCTCCCCGCCGCCCCCCTCTTCTCCTCCACGGTCTCCTCCTCCTCCTCCTCCTCCTCCTCCTCCTCCTCCTCCTCCTCCTCTCCTCCTAAGCTCCCCTCCTCCTCCTCCTCCCCTTCTCCGCCACGCCTCCGACCCCCTCCCCCCTCGGGAGGGAGGGAAAGGCACCCCTACCTCTGCCCTTCCCTCGTTTTCCTTTTTGTTGGGGCCTCCCCCCCCTCCTCCTCCACGTCCTCCCACCCCCTCCCCCCTCGGGAGGGAGGGAAAGGCACCCCTACCTCTGCCCTTCCCTCGTGTTCCCCTTTGGGGGGCCTCCCCCCCCCTCCGCCTCCCCCCCCTTTTGGGGGCCTCCCCCCCCTCGCGCGCACTGCCGGGCCGCCCTGGGCCTCCGCCGCTGCCCCCGCGTGGCTGTCGCGCGCTCCCCTCCGCCCCCCTCTTCTCCTCCACGGTCTCCTCCTCCTCCTCCTCCTCCTCCTCCTCCTCCTCCTCCTCCTCCTCTCCTCCTAAGCTCCCCTCCTCCTCCTCCTCCCCTTCTCCGCCACGCCCTCCGACCCCCTCCCCCCTCGGGAGGGAGGGAAGGGCACCCCTACCTCTGCCCTTCCCTCGTTTTCCTTTTTTTGGGGCCTCCCCCCCTTCGCCTCCACGTCCTCCGATCCCCTCCCCCCTCGGGGAGGGAAAGGCACCCCTACCTCTGCCCTTCCCTCGTGTTCCCCTGTTGTGGGCCTCCTGGGAGGCCCTCGTCGCCACCTCTGGGTTCGCCTCGAGATCCTGGTCAGAGCTCACCCCTGGAGAGGTCCGAGGGGGAGAAACGGTATCGGTACCTTTTGGTCTCCCCCGTCCCCCTCGGGGGAGGGAAAGGGGGGTGAGCATGAGGGTGGCGATGCGATGATGATGGTGTTGGTGCTGTGGGCTCTTGCCAGGGTAGTCTGCCCATGACCATGATCTGGACCCAGCCCCCCCCCCTGAAATTGCAGAGGGGGTTCTTGTGTTGGTACCCCGTCACCTCCTCCTCCGCTCCTGTGCCGTCCACCCCCGTTCACCGCCACCTGCATGACGCTCCACGCTCCTCCAGGCCTCCTCCTCCCATCCAACTTCCTCCTCCTCCTCCTGACGCCGTCTCCCCCTCCTCCGCCGTAAGCCCCCCGTGTCTCTCCCCGGACCCCTGGGCTCTCGGCCCCCTTGAAGGCCCTCCGCCACTTCCCCGGGCAGATTCTGGGGCCCTCGGCCCAGGGCCTCGGGACCCCGCCAGCTCTGCGTCATTTCTCTGGTGGAGCGGGCGGGCCGGGATCATGGTACAGTCGGGGCCCTGAAGAAGGAACCCTTCTCGTTAGGGAGGGGCTCCGCGTTCCTTAAGTGTTCCACAGCTTGTCTCAGGTTATATCGTGTTTCCGACAGGAAATCGAAGTTTAACTTATGGAAAAAGGGGCCTCGTTCCTCATTTAGGGTTTCTTAGGTCAACGCCCCGACTGTAGTGGGTGGGTCGAGGGCTACCTGACCCTGTGTTTTTTTTCGACCTGGCAGCCATACTATGATCTGGGCCCGCACGTTCCGCCGGCGATTCTGTGCCCTTCTCGCCGGCGGAGGGGGGCTCCCGATCCGTCCTCGGGGCACCTCCTCTCGCGCTGACCTCCCTCGCCCGTTCCATCCATCCCGCCCTCCTCCTGCTCGCCCTCTCCTTCCACTTTTCTGATGCTGTGGTTGGAGCTGCCTCGGGGGGCGACGGTGGCTCGTTCGCCTGGGCCGAGGTTTCCCGGTGACCCCCGAGAGTAGCCCTCGGAGAGATCTATGGGGCCGCGAGCTGCCCCGTCGATGTGAGCGGCAACATCGCTCACTATGAGTTGCCCTGCATGGCCCGAACGGCCTTGAATCCTCAGGGTGGCGCCGCGGTCCGGGATCAGGGTAGAGGGTGGGCGGTCGTTTCACCATGGATGACGACCACGATGTTGCTGAGGATGATGAGGATGCTGCTGTTGCTTATGATGATGATGATGATGATGATGATGATGATGATGATGATGATGATGATGGTGATGGTGGTGGTGGTGATGATGGTGGTGATTATGATGATGGTGCTGTTGCTGTTGCTGCTGTTGCTGATGATCGTGCGGATGAGGGGGAGGAGGATTACACTCATGATGCTGACGATCAATATGATGATGGTGATTCTCATGATGTTGTTGATGATGCGGCTGATATGGTCGATGATGATGGTGTTGATGACGATGGTGATGCTGCTGCTGATGATGACAATGATAATGCGCATGATGGTACATAATCGTAATGGCCAGGTGATGACAACGACGACGATGCTGATGCTAATGGCTGCGGTGCTTGCCATGATGGTGATGGTGATGATGATTATGTTGGTGGTGATGCCAGGCTATTGATGATGATCATGTCGATGGAGATGTTGATGATGGTTTTGGTGGTATCATGATGATGACGATGCCGATACCAGTGATGCAGAATGTGCTAGTGATGATGTTAACTATGATGCTGATTATGATGGTGATGACCATAATGATGCTGATACTGATGATGATGCTGGTGGCAATAACGATGCTGGAGTTGGTACAGATGATGATGGCGAGGATGATGATGATGATGCTGAGGCGGTGGATGATGAGGTTGAGCGAGGAGAAGCGAGGAGGACGGTGATGACGATTGGGGTGAGCACGACGATCATGATGTTGATGATGCTGTTGCTGATGTTGATGATGATGGTGATGAGGGCTACGAGGGTCATGATGCTGATGATGACGATGATCATCATGAAGGTTGCTGCTGCTTCTGCTGCTGGTGTTGCTCTTGCTGATGATGGTGCTGATGATGATGAAGGTGATGATGGTGATGATACTGACGATGCTGATGTTGAGGTTGATGCTGCTGGTAATGCTGATGATTATGCTGATGATGATGATGATGATGATGATGATGCTGATGAGGATGATGATGATGACGAGGATGATGAAGATGATGAGGAGGATGATGATGATAATACTGATGATGCTGATGCTGATGCTGATGCTGATGCTGCTGATGATGATGATGTTGATGCTGATGATACTGATGATGCTTATGAATACGGGGATGCTGACGATGGTGATGATGATGCTGATGCTGATGATGATGGTATATGGTGAATGTGCTGATGATGATTAGGACGAGGAGATAGAAGGTGGAGGAGAAGGAGGCAGAGGGGGGACGAGAAGGCGAGATGGATCGCGGACGGGGGAGGAGCGAGAAGTGAGGAGGAGGAATAGGATGAGGAGAAGACGTAGGAAGAGTCGGAGGAGGAGGTGGAGGAGGACGGGCGAGGAGCGAGGACGAGCGAGGAAGAGGAGCGAGGAAGGAGGAGGTGCGAGGAGCAAGGAGGAGGAGGCGGAGGAGGAGGAGGAGGCGGAGGAGGAGCGAGGAGGAGCAGGGGGAGCAGGAGGAAGAGCGAGGATGAGGAGAGGCGGGGAGGCGGATAGGGGAAGGAGGAGCGAGAAGGAGGAGGAGCTCAGAGGAGGGGAGGCGGAGGGGGAGCAATGAGGAGGAGCGACGAGGAGCGACGAGGAGGAGGAGGAGGAGGAGGAGGAGGAGGAGGAGGAGGAAGCGGAGGAGGAGGATGAGGAGGAGGTGGAGGAGGAGGAGGAGGAGGAGCGAGGAGGAGGGAGGAGGAGCGAGGTGGAAGTGGAAGAGGAGGAGAAACCCGAAGGCAGGGCAAGCCAGCGCCGCCGCCGCCGCCGACGACGACGAGGCTGCCCGCGCAGGCGCCCGCCGCCCGGGGCACATGGCGGCGCCAAGGGCGGCTGGCCTGCGGCGCATGCGGGTCGCTCGCGTGGGCCGCCCTGCCCGCCTCGGCCCAAAGTGGGGGGGTACAGTCAAGAGCCCTAACAAGGACGCGCGACTTTGCTCAGGGTACCCTTGCGTCCTTGCTCTTCCTTGCTCTTGCGTCCTTGAGGTTTTCGTCGTCCGCCGCTCCAAAAGTCCCAACTTCGGCTTCCGAGGGTCTTGCGTCCTTACCGCGCGTCCTTATTTGGGTTTTTGACTGTATGAGGTATGATTCGAGAGGCTTGCGCCTTTCCGCCAGCCCCCATCTCTTGAGGGGGGCGTCTTGAAGCCTCTCGAGGCCTCTTCGGAGTTGCCTGGCGCCGTGGGCGTCTTGGTGGGCGTCTCGAGGCCTCGTCAGGGTTTCCTTGGCGCCTGCCGGCTGTTTCTTGGGCGCCATCGTGAGCATGGGATGCCTTCGAGTGTCCAGGAGCATGGGATGAGTGGCCGCCGCGTCGTCGCCCGTGTCTTCGGGCTCGCGTGTCCCGCGTAGATGAATGCCAGCTCTGAGCGCGTGGGAACAAGGCGGGCCGTTTCTATTTCCCCATGTCGGCGTGAGGATTTCCATGGGCCGCGCGAGGCCCGTGGGCCGTGCGAACCCAGCCAGCCCGATGAACCCCACAAGTCCCACAAAGGTTTCTTGGGCCGCACGTGCGCCGCAGCGCGTATGGGCCCAATGCGCCGCGCTGGCCCAGCGAGCCGCGCGGGCCCCATGGGCTCCCAGACTCTTCAGGGCCACATCAGGCTTATGGCCCTTGCGAATCCCGCGGACCATGGAAGCCCCATGGGCCCTAGGGGCGCCATGGGCTCCATGGGAAGCTTTTCTATCATGCAGGCCCCATGGCCTGCAAAGTCGGAGAGCAATGCGAGCCATCTCAAGCTTTCCAGGCTCCGTTGGGTCGCTCAGTCCCGAAAGGGAAAGCGCCCCAAACTTTTCCAGTGCCGGATTTTTGTTCCCTGCAGCATCAAAAAGCCGTTCCCAGCACCAAGGTCCCTTCTGGAACGGCGGCCCCATGGGCGAGCTGAACCCCTGGACGATTTTGGAAGTTTGCCAGGGGCTGCGGGCCCGGGTCAAGGGAGCCGCGGTTTTTGGCCCCAGACGCGCAAGGCGGCGGCCGCCGCTTTTCGCGGGAAGCACGAGGTTCGGGGTCGTCGGGTGCTGGCTCTGGGCGAATCCAGGGGTCGGGGATGCGACACGGGCGGACAGAGGGCGGGTGTGGGCAGGGGGGGGGGCATATGAGGGGGGCGAGCGGGCGAGGGGAAACGTGGGGGAGGGCGGAGGTAGGGGGAGCGAGGCTTCGGTCCTGGAGGATGCCGCTTTCTTCCCTCTTTTCTTCCTCCTTTCCCGAGAGCGCCCGCCTGTTTCGTTTCTCGTTTGCACTTGTCGTTTCCTGCTCTCCCTCCTACCTGCTGCTCGACGTCTCCCTTCCCCCGCCCTCCCCGGCCGCTCTGCGTTCAGGCCACGGCGGGGTCACGCTGGCCCAAAACGCAATTCAAATTTTCGCGGAACAAATCTTTTCTTGATGTTGGTGTTGGCTTTTTGTTCTGCTACGTTGGTTCCGCCCAGCAGGGGCGTCCAGGGGGTCCCCGGAAAGCGCAATGGGGGGGGACTGTTTGCAGGGGCGCCTGGGGGGGACGGATCCGGGGGGTCCCGCTTTTGAGGGCGGGGGGGAGGGGGGGTCCCCCACCCACCCCAGATTTCAGTATCGTTCAACCGATCCCCATCCCCTTCCCCATCCCCTTCGAGACCCCCACCAAGTTACCCCCCCAGCTGGGGACACGCCTCGAAGCCCGAAGGGAACGGCCTAGATCCCCATCTAAGGGGGTAGATCGACCAGCGGAGCCCACGCCATGCCGCTGGGGATGGGGATCGGTTGAACGATACTCAGGACTGCAACCGTGGACAAGAGGGATTCGCATCTGTTTTTTTGTACGCAGTCATGCATGTGAGTGTACGTTGTTTCCATCCAGTTTTTTTTTACAGCGTAATTGGAGGCCGAGGTCCATGTTGAAGGAGCTGTGGAGGCGGGCTTCATTGAAGACCGCGTCACTTGGGGCAGAGCCCCATTCCACCTCCGCCACTGCCACCTGACCCTCACCCTCCTCACCCTCCTCTACTTCCTCCTCGTTTGTCGCGCTCCTCTCCCTCCTCCTCCTCCTCCTCCTCCTCCCCCTCCTCCTCCTCCTCCTCCTCCCCTCCTCCTCCTCCTCCTCCTCCTCCTCCTCCTCCTCCTCCTCCTCCTCCCCCTCCGCCTCCTGCCTCCGACCTCCGACCTCCGCCTGCTACCCCCACCTCCTTGCCTGTCGCAGCCCTCCTGCCCCTCCGCCTGCCTCCTCCTCCTCCTCCTCCTCCTCGGCCTCCTCCTGCGACGACGCTGGCGAGGCCGACGGCGGTCCGACGCCGTGGGCTGCACGGGCGCGCGACCGCTCGGGAGACTGCCGGGGCGCGCCGCTCCCCCCCGCAGGCTGGGCGCTCGCCGTGGCCAGCGTCGCGGCGACAGGCGCGCGGCGGAAAAGAAACGACTCCATCTTCCCCCAGGAGGAACGTGATGGGCCTGTGTTCCACCACCACCACAACAAGTTGGAGGGGGAAGCGGTCCTCCTCTTCCCTCCTCCTCCTCCTCCTCCTCCTCCTCCCTCCTCCTTCCTCCTCCTCCTCCTCCTCCTCCTCCATCCTCTCCTCCTCTCCTCCTCCTCCTCCTCCTCCTCCCTCCTCCTCCTCCCTCCTCCTCCTCCTCCTCCTCCTCCTCCTCCTCCTCCTCCTCCTCCTCCTCCTCCTCCTCCTCCTCCTCCTCCTCCCTCCCCCCTCACAGTTCTGGTGGTGGTGGTGGAAAGCAGGCCCATCAAGGAGGGACGAGGAAATGTCAAGAGGAGGACGGGGGGGCAGCGCGGCTGGGCGCAGCGCGGAAGACCGGGGCGTGCTGATTCCGCGGCCTCCGGGGGGAGTGTCCGAGCGCTGTTGCCGTTGCCGTGGAGCTGCCGCTGCCTTAACCCGCCCGTCTCCGAGAGACAGGACTCCGGGCCCTACAGACCCCAGCCGGTACTGACAGTGTGTTTCCCTTTCGGCCCGAAGTGTCGGTTGTCATTTGTGTCGTCCTCATCGTCTCTGTTCTCACCCTCGGATGGGGGAGGTACGAGAAGAGGGCCTCCTCCTCCCTCTCTTGTTTCCACAAGTCCATTCCTTCTTCCGGTCGTCCCCTCCCCGTCCTAATCTCCTTCCGTCCTCTTCCTCCCTGTCTCCTCTCTCCTCCTGTTCCTCCCCACTCCTCTTGCCGCTCGTCGCCCCACCTTCACATCTCTCTCCTATTCTAGACGCTTCGCGTAACCCCTCCAGCCCATCCAGCAACGTTGTCCAGACGAATTGCCTTGATAACGTATGTGGAGGAATCTGCAGTGTAATGAATGGTCGGTCAAGACGTCATAACCCAAGAGGGGGAGGATGCATGAGGTCTCGGAGGGGCAGGAGGAGGAGGAGGAGGAGGAGGTGGAGGAGGAGGGAGAGGGAGGGGGAGGGGGATGAGGAAGTAGGAGGGAGAAGGAATAGGCGGAGGGGAAGAGGAGTAGGATGTTGATGATGAGGAGGAGGAGGACGAGCATAAAAGGCCAGAAGCCTCTTGGCCAGAAGCCTCTTGGATGCCTCTTGGGGTCTCTTCGGATTTCTTCAGAGGGCTTCTTGGAGTACTCTTTGTGTGTCGTGGGGGTCTCATGGCAGTCCTGGGGGCCCCTTGGAGCGTCCCGGGTGCATCTGGGGGGGGGGGCATCTTGGGGCATCTTGGGGTCTCTTGGGGGTCTCTTGGGACCCCTTTGGGGGCATCTCGGGAGCCCCTTGGGGGCCTCTTGGGGCCTCCTGGGCACCTGTTGAGGCCATCTTGGGGCACCCTTCGGACTGTTCAGGAACTACTCCGGTCGGATTGCAACCACTGGAAACGGACTGATCGCAACCTAAAGGATTCCTTTACAAACCTGTCAGGAGAACGCCGCATTGCAACCGATCCAAGAGCTCCTGCTCAGGCCTCTGAAACAGGCTCCTTTGAAGCCTCTGAAAGGCTTCTCTGAGGCCTCTGAAAGGCTTCTCCGAGTCCTCTGAAAGGCTCTTCTGAGGCCTCTGAAAGGCTTTTCTGCGGCCTCTGCGAGGCTTGTGGGAGGCTTCCGAGAGGCGTGTGGGAGGCTTCTGGGAGGCTTGTGGGAGGCTTCTGAGAGTCTTGTGGGAGGCTTCTGAGAGGCTTCTGAGAGGCTTCTGCGAGGCTTCCGAGAAGGCTCTGAGAGGCTTCTGAGAGGCTTCCTGAGGCTTCTGAGAGGCTACTGAGAGGATTCTGAAAGATTTCTGCGAGGCTTCTGACAGGCTTCTGAGAGGCTTCGGCGAGACTTCTGAGAGGCTTCTGAGTGGCTTCTGATAGGCTTCTGAGAGGCTTCTGCGACGCTTCTGCGAGGCTTCTGAGAGGCTTCGGATAGGCCTGCCCCTCAGGCCCCCCCCACAGGTCCCACATGTCCTGCTTGTCGCACGGGCGCCAAAGGTCTCGCAGGCCGCGCCAGGCGCACACGTCCCCCAGCCATGGTTCCCACAACCACCACACCATCCTCCCGATTCGCCGCACCTCATCGATGAAGGCCTCTCTCTGGGAGCGCTCCGCATGGGATAGGTCCTCCACGGGGTCTGGGAGGGGTCTGTGGGGGGCTGTCGCTCCGCTCCCCTCTCCGCCATTGGGGCCCCTCCTGTCGCGCCAGGGGTTGTCCAGGCCCAGACCGCCTGGCGTCGTGACAGCACCTGTTTTTGTCTCGGGCTCGGGGGGCCATCGCCGGGCCCGGGGGGCCGTCCAGAAGTGACCCAGTGTGCAATGCTGGTCTGCTGTAGGTTCGTGCGGCGTTGGCGCGCCGGTGACGCTGGCGAAGGCCGACGCGGAAGCACCGAGGGACACGTTGGGCCCACTGTACCCGACGAGATTCAACATGGAACGATCGGGGCCGCGATCGATGCAAGGTGGAACGACCCGCGCGGTGCCAAAACCCTTGCGGGTGCCGGCGCCGCGCGAACCTGCCGTGGGGGAGTTCGTCCAGACCTCTGGAGGTCGACGTCCTGGAAAAGTCATGACGTTGGCTTGGCATCGCTCGGACGTGTGCATTTTTTCTTCGGCGAGGACCATCGAGGAGTATCCTCGATCACTTGGCGAAAAGGCCACGCACAAAACCGAAAAAAGCAAAGGAAATCGACGTCCGAGCGATGGCCAGTTGGGGGCGTTGGTCCGCTAGGTGAGAAAAGGCCGCAGCCGCTACTGTGTCGAACCCGTCGGTCGGCCACCTGCGCCCAGGAGGCAGGTGGGAGCTGCTGGCGCCCCAGCCGCCCCTGTACACTACCAATACAAATTGGTCGCGGAGCGGCCGCGCGTGCTCCAAACGTGGAGAGATAGTGCGTTTCGTATTGCTCTTGTGACAGGGATGGGGGGGCCCTCGCGGGGTTGTCATGGTTCGGTGTTGGTTGGCCGCCGGCCGGGGTGGGGGAGGGGGTGTCTACTCATAGGGAGCAGTGATCAAGACACCCCCTGGATAGCAAGCCGCCCAGCCCACCCCTTACCCGCCCTCGCAACACATGAGTAACGCCCGAGCCCGAGCACGTTCAGCGGTCGTCTGCGGACGGACAGCCACTGGGAACCAACACCGATCCACTGTGCGCGACGCCGGAGCGAGGTGCGCCACGCGTGCCAGGCGCGCAGCGCGCGGCTGGCACGGCCGGGGCCCAGACGTGCCAGGCACGGCCGGTGCGCCAGATGCGCCACGTGCTTTGCCTGCGCAAAGTCACACATGGGGAAACTGGTCGGCCCCCCGTATCCTTGTCGAGAACCAATGCTCATCGTTGTGTCTGGAGGGCCTGCGCGCAGCAGGCCATGCGCCACCCCCCCCGCCGTCCCTTTGTCAAAGACCGCTTGGCAGTGATCGCGGGGTGGCCGCGCACGATCCAGATTTCGCCGCGAGGCTTGTTTATTGTTAGGGATGGTTGCCCTGCGCACAGCAGGCATTATGCTGACACCCCGCCGTCCCTGTCAAAGAATATACAAAGTGCTCGCGGGCTTCACGAACATGCTTCAAGACAAACCTGGTGGGGGTGGGGCCGCATCGGGTTGGCCGCGCGCGCATGCCCCACATGTAGTGACATAGTGCATGTTGCATTTTTCCAGAACCATCCTGTGGTATTGGGCTTTCGTTTGGGAGAGACGGCGCCCCGCGTCACCTCGCGCCGGCCTTCCCCTCCCCCTCTTTGCTTGTGCCCTTCGCATGTTTCTGTTTCGGCACACCCCTCACTCGTTTCGTGGCCTCATAGGGGGCTCCTCCGAAGGCCCCAATGGTTCTGCTCGCATGACACCACCGCACCCATCCCGTGGCCCCATGGGGAACTCGGCCGAAGGCGCCGCTGGCTGCGCTCGCATGACGCCAACGCACCCATTCCAGCACGACCCTCGCACGTTTTGTGGCCCCACAAGGAGCTCCACCGAAGGCCCCAGTGGCTGCGCTCGCATGGCACCACCATGCCCATGCCGGCACACCCTTCACACGTTTCGTGGCCCCACAAGGAGCTTCACCGAAGGCCCCACTTGTTGTTCTCGCATGACACCACTGCGCACAAGTTGGCACACCCGTCACACGTGTCGTGGCTCCATGGGGAGCTCCACCACGCGCCCCAGTGGCTGCGCTCGCATGGCGCCACCGCACCCATGTCGGCCCCCCCCCTCACACGCTTCGTGGCCCCAGAGGGCTTCCACCGAAAGCCCCAATGGCCGCGATCGCGTGGCACCACCGCGCCAAAATCGGCACACGGCTTACACGTTCCGTGGCCCCATATGGATTTCCACCGAAGGCCCCAGTGGTTGCGTTCGCGTGACATATCGGCACCCATTTCGGCACACCCCTCACACGTTTCGTAGCCCCATAAGAAGCATCACCGAAGGCCCCACTGGCTGCGCTTGCATGACACCACCGAGCCCAGGTCGGCACGCCACTCGCACTTCCCTGGCCCCATAGGGAACCCCACCGAAAGCCTCAGTGGCTGCGCTTGCATAACACCACGTTCCTCACACGTTTCGTGGCCCCACAAGGAACTTTACCGAAGGCCCCCGTGGCTCGCTCGCATGGCACCACCGCACCCATGTGGGCACACCCCTCACACGTTTCGTGGCGCCATGGGGAATTCCACAGAAGGTCCCAGTGGCTGCGCTTGCATGACACCACTGCGCCCATGTTGGCACACCCCTCACACGTTTCGTGGCCCATCATAGTATCCACCGAAGTCGATACCAGCAAGTCCGTTATTCACAGCTGAATATGGTTGGGTCTTTCGTCAGAATAATTGACAGGGGTGGTGGGGGGTGATCATGGTTCCTGGTTGGCCGCCGGTCGCATGGGGGAGGTGGTGTATACTGTTAGGGAGCAGTACTAAACCCATCCCCGGAGGGGAAGAACGGGGGTTGTAAGAAGAAACGCCCTCAACCACTCACGCCCGAAAGGGCTGCTG